CAAAGGCGATACCCTCCTGGCCCCATAATATGATTGTACTCCTTCTTAGCCGCATTTTCCTTATTTTTTTTCGATATTTGAATGAACTGCTCCGATTTCTTTTGCTTCACAAATTCTGGCCAATCATGTTTCAGTTTCTCATATTGTCCTTTGAAATCCGGAGTCTTGTTCTGCTTGACAAAGTCATGGGCTAGATTTTGCTTGAATTTCCGGAATGCGTCGGCCATCTTATGAAGAGCGAACTGTTTGACTAGCCTCCTCCTCTCCTTGTTTTCCTCAATCTTGTTACCCTCCTCATCGAATTTGTTGTATTCCGGAGGTAGAACGAAATGTTCCATAACCGGGACTAAAGGGTTTTGGCGCCGCTTCCGTTCCCGCGCAGAAAGACCCTTTAGTCGCGGTTGGAGAGGCGGACCGCGACTAAAGGTACCCTTTAGTCGCGGTCCGCCTCTCCAACCGGGACTAAAGGTCTGTGCTAGAACTGGCGCGGTTCGGTGGGATGTTTAGTCCCACCTCGCTAGCCGAGAGGCTTCGACAGTGGTTTATAAGCGCGGCTGCGCTCACCACTTCGAGCTCCTCTCAAATGCAGGCTTACGGGCCTATTCTGTCACTATGTGCCTGTGGGCCTACTCGGCCTTCTGCGGGCCTGAATCCTGGCCCTTTAATGGGTTTCTAGTCGTATTCAGGCCGTGGTGGCCCAGTAGGTGGCATATTTTCTTTTTTTCTTCCTTTTTTCCTTTTTCCATTTTTCTTCTGTTTTTTTCTTATGTTTTTTTTCTGTTTGTTTTTTTCTTCTGTTTTTCCTTTTTTCTTCTGTTTTTTTCTTCTGTTTTTTTCTTCCTTTTTCCTTCTTTCTTCTTCTTCCTTTTTCCTTTTAAAATCAGAAAAATAAAACTAATTCATTTTAAAACCCCTTGAAGGTTTGGCAAAAGGTTTGATACATCATTCAGTTCATCGACCAAATACAAAGTTTGGTACAATAAATTATTACACATCAATTCTTCCCTTGTGTCCCTGCTTGCTTACGATTGTGCCGTATCCATGGAGCATACTCATCATTTAACTTAATGCTTGGGTCAATGTTCACTTTGAAGGGCGGAATTTCACCAAACATATTATAATCTTCTGACATGTCTGTCTTGTCCTCCACTCCCACGATGTTTCTTTTCCCTGAAAGAACAATGTGGCGCTTTGGATCATCGCATGATGTACTGATCGTTTTCTTATCTTTCCGTTTCCTCGGTTTGCTACTCATGTCCTTCAAATAAAAAACCTGAGCGACATCTTTGGCAAGGACGAATGGTTTGTCAAGGTAACCAAGATTGTTGAAATCCACCATTGTCATTCCGTATTGCTCGTCCACCTTTACCCCACCTCCTGTTAGCTTGAACCATTTGCACCGGAACAAAGGGACCTTAAAGGAGGGTCCATAGTCAAGTTCCCATATCTCCTCTATGTAACCATAATATGTGACCTTTTTCCCATTCTCGGTTGCTGCATCAAAGCGGACACCACTGTTTTGGTTGGTGCTCTTTTTATCTTGGACGATCGTGTAAAATGTATTCCCATTTATCTCGTACCCTTGGAAAGTCGTTATAGTCGAAGATGGTGTCTTGGCCAACATGTACAGCTGATCTACAACATCATTGTCATTCATTAAATGTTTTCTCAACCAACTGCCGAAAGTCTCCATGTGGGCCTTCCTAATCCAGGATTCAGGCTTCCCCGGGTTGTCCGAGCGTAAAATATTCTTGTGTTTCTCAAAGTACGGAGCCACCAAGCTGGAATTGGTCAGTACAGTGTGGTGTGCTTCAGTCAGAGAATGGCCGTCCATACATATCGTTGATTTCCTTCCGATCGTGCCTTTTCCACTTAGTCTCCCCTCGTGCCGCGATCGAGGAAGACCAATCGGTTTAAGGTCAGGAACAAAGTCAACACAAAACTCAATTACCTCCTCATTTCCATAGCCCTTGGCGATGCTTCCTTCTGGCCTAGCACGGTTACGAACATATTTCTTTAATACTCCCATGAACCTCTCGAAGGGGAACATATTGTGTAGAAATACAGGACCGAGAACGAAAATCTCTTCGACTAGGTGAACCAGGAGGTGCGTCATAATATTGAAGAAGGATGGCGGGAACACCAACTCGAAACTGACAAGGCATTGGATCACATCGTTCTGTAACCGTGGTAGAACTTCTGGATTGATTACCTTCTGAGAGATTGCATTGAGGAATGCACATAGCTTCACAATGGCTACTCGAACATTTTCCGGCAGGAGCCCCCTCAAAGCAATCGGAAGCAATTGCGTCATAATCACGTGGCAGTCGTGAGACTTCAGGTTTTGGAACTTTTTCTCCGCCATGTTTATTATTCCCTTTATATTGGACGAGAATCCAGAGGGGACCTTCATACTGCTCAGGCATTCAAAAAAGATGACCTTCTCTTCTTTGGTCAGAGCGTAGCTGGCACGACCTTGAAACCATTCCGGATGCCGGTCATCAGGGTCTTTCAAACGTTGCTGGTCCTGCCGTGCTTCCTTTGTATCATTTGTCTTCCCATACACGCCCAAGAAGCTTAGGAGGTTCACGCAAATATTCTTCGTAACGTGCATCACGTCGATTGCAGAGCGGACATCTAGGACTTTCCAATATTCTAGCTCCCAGAATATAGATTTCTTCTTCCACATGGCTGCGTGCCCGTCAGCTCCCTTCGGAACTGATTGTCCGCCAGGACCCTTTACAAAGATGACTTTCAAATCCTTGACCATATCAAATACCTCAGCACCAGTGCGTTCCGCAGGCTTCGGCCGGTGATCTGCCTTGCCGTTGTAATGCTTGCCTTTCTTTCTTACTGGATTAATTTTCGGAAGAAATCGACGATGCCCAAGGTACACGTTCTTCTTACAATTTGGCAAATGTACACTTTCAGTCTCATGTAAGCAGTGCGTGCATGCATTGTATCCCTTATTTGACAGTCCTGAAAGGTTACTAAGAGCAGGCCAATCGTTGATGGTTACGAAAAGCAACGCTCGTAGGTCAAATTCCTCTTGTTTGTGCTCATCCCACACACGGACACCACCCCACAGCTGTAAAAGTTCATCAACTAATGGCCTTAGGTACACATCGATGTCGTTGCCGGGTTGCTTCGGACCTTGGATGAGCACTGACATCATAATGAACTTCCGCTTCATGCACAACCAAGGAGGAAGGTTGTAGATGCATAGAGTCACGGGCCAGGTGCTATGGCTGGAGCTCTGCTCGCCAAAAGGATTCATGCCATCCGTACTTAGAGCAAATCTTATGTTCCTTGCGTCAGCTGCAAAATCTTTGAACCATCTGTCGATCTTTCTCCATTGCGTTCCATCTGCGGTGTGTCTCAACTCCCCGTCCGACTTACGGTCCTCTTTGTGCCATCGCAACAACTTGGCATGCTCTTTGTTCCTGAACAGACGTTTCAACCGTGGTATTATAGGAGCATACCACATCACCATGGCGGGAACCCTCTTCCTGGGTTTCTGGCCCTCAACATCGTCACCAGGGTCATCGCCTCTGATCTTATAACGCAATGCAGTGCATACCGGGCATTCATTCAAATTCTCGTATTCACCGCGGTAGAGGATGCAGTCGTTGATGCATGCATGTATCTTCAGAACCTCTAAACCTAGAGGGCAGACAACCTTCTTTGCTTCGTACGTACTGGCGGGCAACTCGTTATCCTTTGGAAACATATTCTTCAACATTATCAGCAAGTTTTCAAATGCCGAGTCAGCTACACCTGCCTCTGCCTTCCATTTCAGCAAATCCAGTGTGCAACCCAGCTTTTTCAGACCATCATCGCATCCGGGGTACAGCGCCTTTCTGTGATCCTCTAACATGCGATCCAAATTCTCCCTCTCCTTTTCAGTTTCGCAGCGTCTCCGTGCATCAGCAATGGTCCGACCAAGATCATCAACGGGATCATCACGTGCCTCTTCTTCACCTTCCCCTTCACCTTCAGCATCCTCCATGAAAGTATCACCGAAATGAGCAAGATAGCTTTCATCGATGAAATCATCCCCTTCTTCATCTTCTTCCATTATAACCCCTCTTTCTCCATGCTTGGTCCAACAATTATAGCTTGGCATGAAACCGTGCCGAAGCAGATGCATGTGAACATCTCTTGAGGAAGAGTAACCCTTCTGATTCTTACAGATAACACATGGACAGATAACAAAACCCCCCTCCTTGTTCGCATTAGCCACTACGAGGAAATCTTTCAAACCCGTAGTGAACTCGCCGGAGAGTCGGTTACCGTACATCCATTGCCGATTCATCTGCATTATTATAATATAAAATATATAATTAACCATCATGCATTTGTTAAACTAACTAGCTACAAACAATATAAATTAAACAATGAACTGCACACATGCATATTTTATCAATGACACACATACATGAAAGGTTCAAGTTGCTAACCGCGATCGAGGAGGAAAAAATAAATGAGGAACCTGAAGTGTGGCTCCAACACTTCATATCATGTTTGTTTCACCCTCTTAGGGCATTTCATCAAACACCTTGTGTGCATAAGAGGAACCAAAAGCAAACCTAGCTACACCCCCTTGTGAAGCTTGTGAAGAGAAGTGGCACCAAATGGCTAAGTGAGCGTGCTGAACTGGTATATATAGGGGAGGAGCTTTAGTCGCGGTTGGCCTGGCCAACCGCGACTAAAGCCCCTCACGTGCACTAGCTGGCCACCGAGCGCCCTGGGCCCAGGCCTTTGGTCGCGGTTCGTCTGCCGAATCGCGACTAAAGACTTCATTAGTCGCGGTTCCTACAGTTTCGCGACTAATGGGGCTGGACGGAATCCTCTTTTTCTACCGGTGACTGTATTCAACTCTTTGGAAAGATAGCTCATCCTTGGCAAGGTCGTAGAGCAGGTGCATGTTCTGCAACTGGAAGTTGCCGATGACGCTCATGCCGTTGGATGTATGCATCACCATGCATGACGTGGAATTGTCAAGCGGCACCCAGTAGTTCTCCGGCGGCAGCACCATGTCCGCTCCGCCACTGAAGTGGAGCACCATGGATGGCACTGTCTTTTCGTGTGCCACCGCCATACACAGGTTCATTCCACTGTTTGCGGATGGCGACACGAGGCTCCCGTTCACCTGCCTCCGGAGCCCCATGGGCCAAAGCCGTAGTGGGGTTGCCTGAGTCGATAATGAACCCGCCGCTGCCGTTTTGTTTCGGAGCAAACACCGTCGGTGGGATGGACAGTCTTGTCTGTCCCACGCTTATCCCGATGAGCGGGACGTAGTAGAATGGGTACTTTTTTGGGACTTGCGCGAAAGACATGGACATCACAGGGCTGCCGCCGCTAAGGCTCGCCGAGGCGCTGACGGAAAGATGGTTGTTGGCACTAGCGGTGGCGTTGCTGCGCAGAGAGGCGGTGTGACAATAAGAGAACTTTTTGACACCCACCTGAAAGATGAGCGACAGGGGGCCGCGGATAAGACCTATGAGACCGGACGCCCCGTCGAGGGACCCCGGAGTGATGATCAGCTAGTGGACGCAGCCGAACGTGAGCCACGCCGTGCCGTTTTGGAAGGCAAAGACCTCAGTGCCAATGGACCCTCTGGCGACGCCCACGCCATAGAAGGCCCCGAAAGCACAGCTGCCGCCCCTGGCGCACGAGTGCTCCAAGTTGGCCAAGCACAAGGTGTCGTTGCATGCCACGAGATGGAAGCTGTCCGACTTGGACGCCTTATAGTAGGGCAGGCCCTGCATGACGCAAGATCCTTTGAGGCTGCAGGTGGAACACTGCGTCCAGATGAGGTCACTAGCTGTGTCGACGATGGCCTCCGCGCACTGTGGTGGGTTGCCGATCAGGTACTCAGCAATGTACTGGCTGGTGTTCCAGTGGATTGGCACGCTCACGTCAGCAAATGACGCCAGGCGCTGCCGGCTGCTGGCCATGGCGCGCTGCACGCGCTCCGCCGTGGTGTAGCTCCCCTTGCCATCAACATGGGTGAGCTCCATGTGAAACCCGGCGCTACTACAAGTAACTAGGGTAGCAGCAGTGGAGCACAACACAACAACGATCAGCACCAGGCTTATTTCCATTGTTTCACTCGTTGGTTCGGTGCTGGCTCCTCACCATGTTATAGGTTAATTGCAACCTGTGGTCTCCATGTATATATATGCATCTCCACTGCATTTAGGAACGGAGGGAGTATTAAAGGTGAATCTGTACGTAGTTGTTCGCACACAACCTCTAATGCAAAAATATAGAAACAGAGTGAGAATCAATTTAAAAATCAAGCCATTAATGTAATTAATTAGACAATTAAATGCACAGTTAATTAGATCATGTTAAATAGGAATATTTTTGCACTGAATCAATTGGAAAATCGATTCACCAATATGAAGGCTGTTAATTAGGCCCAGAGATAATTAGAAGTAGCTAATTTTCTAGTCAATAAGACAATTAATGAATTAAGTAGAAAAGTAATCACACCGAACAAATCATACAGCCAATAATGCAAAACTATTTTTAAAACTAGCACTGAATCAATTTGAAAATCAAAGCATTAATACGAAAATTATCCAGACAGTTAATTACATGTACAATTAATTAGGTTCATTTAAAAATAGATTTTTTTCGCATTGAATCTATATTATGAGGGACGAATATGTATGTAGTCGTTCGCCCACAACCATTAATGAAAAAAATAGAAATAGAGTAATGCAATTAATTAGGTACATTTAAATAGGATTTTTTTTGCATCAAATCAGTTTTAAAACTAAGTCATTAATGCAATTTATTAATTAGGCAGACAATTAATTAGCCCTACAGATAATTAGAAGTACTCCCTCCATCTGTATATAAGGTCTGATGCTTTTTTCTAGGCTACTTTAGACCACATGTTGGAGCAAAAATATATGGCATGCAAGTTACATTAAGTACACCGTTAGATTCACAGGTGGAATGAGCTTCTAATGATATAGTTTTCATATGATACATCTCATATACTATTAATCTTATCAACAATCAAATTCAACCTCGAGAAATATATTAGGCCCTATATATATATATATGGATGAGAGAGTAGGGGTTTTCTTCGCGCTAAATCAGTTTAAAAACGCTCATGGGTGAGGAAGGCCAACAGACTTTCGCTGACCTTGGCGAGTACCAGCAGGCTCTCAGGGCATGGCCGAGCAATGCTTGTCATCATAAAAAAACTGCCAACAAGCCCTCGCGATATGGCCGACCAAGTGTTCACCCGGATGGATGGCAATCGTGTTCAGCAGGACGTCCACACAATCGAAGGTCGCTCACTAGAGGACGACCAAGTACTGAAGATCGAGGGCTCCAATTGCGCGTTCAAAGACAATGGTCATCATCGAGGACAATCGGTCACACACCACCATTTTTCAAATATTGTTCCATCCCGTAGCTAGTCTGGGTAATAAGCAAAAATAAACCAACTGATGGAGGATGGATTAAGATACATCCGTAATTTAGTACACTAGCTAGTATAATCAAGTCTTGGGTGCCGGCCTGAACCTTGAAAGGGATTGGCCGTCTTCCTTACTATCACATCCCAGATTTCCCTAAATCTGGTATGTTAAAAAAATTCACAAGGAATAATTTTTTTCTAAGAAATATATATGATTGCCTAGGATTGCTTGTGTTTGACTTTGTTTTGCTTGATTGTTGCCTAGAAGGGATAAAATCCCACTATCACTAGTTGAAACCCTAGCAAGCCTTGTTAGAAACCAAACCATTTGAAATATTATTGGGCACAAGCTAACCTTAATAAGTCCCAAGAATATCAAGCCAATTAATTTTTCTATGACTTGAGTTGGATTCATTTTGAAAACAATTCAAAACACAAAGGGAAATTATTTAAAATGGCTTTGTAATTATTTTGGCAGGAAGATGAGTTCACAAATCCAAACAATGAGCTTGAAACTCTGGCATTTCTCTAACTGAATTTGAAAGACATTTAGTTTTGAAACCAAATTCAAATTCAAACTGGAAATATAAGTGCAGGAATTATATGTCCAAATTTCCCAAACAAAAGTTTACAGAAAACCGCCTGAACTAAAAAGACACATAACTATTTATCTACATATCCAAATTCATGATACATTTTGCAAAACCACCCTCATGAAATGTACATTCACCCTGTCCAGAAAAATTTCTCTTTTGAATAATTTAAAATTTAAATTCAAACAGAATAAATTGAAATTTAAATAGGGAATAACTTGCAAATTAAAAATCAAAATAAGTTGATTCTTTTTTGAAAATTGAGCCTAGAGAAATATGGTTTCATCTCAAAACACTTTAGTTCATATGTGAATAATTTAAATATATATTTTATACATAATACAGAAGAGGCCAAAATTCAAATAGATATTAAACCTACATTGGTTAAACTTTCAAATAAAAATTGTGTAATAAGAAAATTATGATACAAATGAGTTCAGAAGCTATAATATGGACTTTAATTATTAGTTGACTATAGGAAATCCAAATGATATTTGAATTTAATTCAAACACACTTAGATCATAAGTTTGAAACCCTAGGTCTAATTTAAATAAAACTAATGCAAGATGGTTTAATTAATTAAATTAGACCTAGTAAATACCTTTGATTTAATAGTTGAGTTTAGGGAAAGATGAGCTCAAATTAAATCCAAATAAAGTTAAAAACCAAATAAAATGTATTTGTGAAAGTTTAAAATTGTTTGAAAATTTTGAAGTTGAGGTTGTTCGAGGGTTTAAAGTTTGATGTTTGAATCTTTATCAACCGTAGGAGCTATGACCAAAGTCACCAATTAATAGTGACCAATTGTACAACATTGCTGCTTATGCATATTTTTTCCTTTTCTACCTCCCAAATGAACATGGATCCATTCTTTGAACTGAACATGTTTATACTTCATAGTACAAGATATTCTAACATACGACGGTTTTTAGAGCTTTTCTGCAAATGTCAAACATTGTTTCCACGGAGTTCTCATTGTGACTTGATTTCCACGAAACAATTTTTATTCCCAAATGGAGTAGTAGTAGTACTAGCATAGTTGTTCCCTTCTCATAATCAGACACCTCAATTATAGCATACCTCAAATTCATACAAAGTCATGCTACTACATAAATGATGCATTACACACATCCTCTAGCTACTACGTCACGACATGCCATTGGACTACCAAAATTTGACATGTTTTACCTACATGCTACCTATTTAGAAGAACATCCACAACTGCCCTTGCCCTTCCAGGCGCCCTTGACGTCCTTCTTGCCAAAGTAGCAGTTGAAAACATAGTACGGACTAAGACGGATCTGCTCATTGCCAGAGCTGTCCGGCCTGTCACAGCCCTCCTTCTCCTCCTTGGGTGACATTCCGTCCATGCCACGGACCACAGATTCTACTCTCGGGCGAGGTAGCGCTTGTTCCTCCGCTACTGCTTCTTACAATGTGGGCGAATGACTTCTTCCTCTGTGGCAGTGTGCGTCACCGCCTCATTTGCCTCCGCCGCCGCCATGTCGGCAGCGAGTCGGGCGTCAGCGACCCTGATCCTCTCCTTCCCATGGTGGGCACACCGATCCTGGTAGGATTCACACTCCGGCAGACCGGTGATGGGAAAAGATAGATTGGAAGACTCCCGAGAGGGCCACGACGATCTAGCCCTAGAGAATCTGATGCGTCGACGCAATGGACTATGTCAGATAGATCCTACCATCGGTCAGGCACTGCCTCCTCCGACCCGCATGGGATGACACCCCAGCCAACGACTCCGTGTTGGTTGGAGTCAGATCCACTGCCCGCCATGCTAGAGAAGGTCGGAGATCACCGGACGGGAGTTTGGGTGGTGGAGTAGAGTGGAGTGAAGTGGCTAGGGTTTGGCACAAGGAGCGGATGGGGATGAATATATCTGGATGCATGTGGGCCAGTATGGGCTGGAACCAACATGATGGACGAAGCCAGGCACGCGCGGGCCTCCCCATATCCGCCCCATATTTGGGATGGATATGCGGGTGCCAGTCGACTCGGGCATTTGAGGCCGGTTTGAGACAGCCCTCTGGTCGGATGTTTTTGTGACGCCCGGATATTTAAGCTACAGTGAACCTCTGCTAATGATGCCACGTCACCTCGATTACGGTTCCTAATCTCGTGTTAGTTCGAAACTGATTCAAATTCAAAATCAACCAAAGAATAAAAGTTTTTAAATATTAAAACTAAAATGTTCGGAGTGAACCAAATATTGCATAGGTTATTATTGGTGGAGTAACCACATCCTTATAAAATATTTAAATACGCTAAAGTGATTAAAACAACATCAAAACAATTAGTTATACTCCTAATATATTTTACCAAATGCTAAACTATTTTTATTCTGAGGTAAAACTTCTTAGAACAGTCAATTAATTTGACACACTATTTTTGGAGCTATTTTCATATTTTACTAAACCAAAAATATAGTGCAGCAGAAAAAGAACAAAAAAACAGAAACAAAAACAAAAGGGAAACGCACCCCCCACTGGGCCAGACGGCCCAGCCGGCCAGGCCACCAACCGGCCCAACTGGGCAAAGGCCCAGCCGCCCCCCCCCCCATTCCCCATATCCCCCAC